GCAAACGTTGCCCATGCCAGCAGCTGCCCTCATTGCCCAACCCAAGGAGCTGAGTGGGGCTGGGGGGAGACGCCATAGAGCAGGAGGTGCTGGGGGGTGGGAAGGGGGCCGAGGCAGGAGCCGGGTACCCGCCGGTGCTCCCATACCCATCAGGATGCCGTTCTTCTCCAGCGGTTCCTGCCAGCTGACCTTCAGGGATGTGTCCAGGATGTCACTGAAGCTGAGATGTCCCACAGGGCCAGGCACTGCCCAAAGATGCCCAGGCTCAGCACCCGAGGGCCGGAGCCCTCGGCACCCACGGGACCCCCGCAAGGCAAGAGCACAGACGGGGCTCCCCTCGGATGGGACTTCCCCGGGCTCGGTGGCATCCCCGTTCCACATCCCCAGCAGCAGCACCGGTGGGACCAAGTCCCCCATCTGGGGGCTGCTCCCACCCACCCCAGGAGCCGCACACGGGCAGGGTCCGTCCCGCGGGAACGCAGAGCCTCCCCGTACCGTCCTCGTGGGTGCGCACCAGCTGGGGGGGGCTGCGCGGGCCGTCCCCCGGCGTGGTGAAGCACAGCACCGAGGTGAAGTACTCGGCAAATTTCCGCAGCCCCGCCACGTAGCCCACGTGGACGCTGTCCTGGAAGTTGGGCCGCACCGTCACCACCGTCGCCTCCTCCTCGTGCTCCGGCTCCCAGGCAATCAGCTGCGGGAAGAAGGAGCTGGGACGCCGGCGCTGGGCAGCGACGTCCCCACCGCGCGCATCGGTACCGCAAGCACCATCCGCCGGGCACCTCGGGCCTCCGCTTATTTATTCAGAGTTGATTAAATATCAATTAATGGGTGCAGGGAAGACCCGGTGCCGTTAACAGCGCCTGTTTACCCGATACGGAGCGCGCACTTTGTGATTAACTCCCATTGATAACAGCGTGTAATCACCCGCTCGCCTGCATTTAGGAGGGATGTTTGGGCATTTAATTGGTATTGTGCAAGATAGCCTATAGCAACTTAATTAAATACTAATTAGGCCCTAAAAATACTAATCAAAAATACTAAGTGGCATTTAATAAGAACGTTAAATATCCCACTTGCTCTGGTTATCTCATTCAGCGGCAATTAAATTCCAGAACTTCTTTTGAGTGGATTAAGAAACAAGTTTAATGTTTTAATTCAATTTAATTAATGTAAATTTCAATTAATCGCAATTTGGAATTAATTACAGAGCACGGGAGTCTCCAAGCCCATGCAAGTGTTAAATCGCAGTAAATATTATTTTAGTGGTCAGGCCGGAATCAATGAAAATCTGGGGTTTCGGCAAGGGGGAGTCGAGCCGGTCTGCGAAGGCTGCCCGAGGAGTCTCCCCTCTCCAGCTGCCCGGTTTTTGGGGGGGCCCATGGGAATCGCCCCTCACCTTGTACCCCTGGTTGATGCCGTTGATGAACTGGGGGCTGGGGGGGTTCCAGGTGAAGCGAATGGTGGTGGAGTTGGTGGCCTCGGTCTGCACGTTCCCCGGGGGCACGGTGGGGACTGCCGGGATGAAGGCACGGCTCGCAGCGGCTCCGCAAGGTCCCCTCCATCAGCGGGGGGTCAGCCCCTCGGGAGCACAGGCACCCGCAGTGGGGAGACCCCCGGGCACCCAGCGTGGTGCCCCAAGACACCCCTGGCTGGGCCAGCCCTGCCCTGGCCCTGCAGCCCCTGGCCACCCCTTCCCAGCAGGTCCCAGTCCCCGGGGACCCCCAACCCCATCCTCCTGCCATCCACCCCCAACACCCCCGTGGCA